CTCTAATCTTTATGATTTCCTCCCGTCTTTGGGCTCTGGGTTTGGTTTGCTCTTCCTTTTCTAGTTGTTGAAGGTGCAGCATTATATTTGTTCCCATTCTGTTTTCCTAATGTGTGAGTTCACAGCTATGAATTTCCCTCTGACGATTTTGTTGGATTTTGTTTCCTAATCCACTGTGCCAGTCTATTTCTCTTAATTGATGAATTGAGTCCATTTACATTGATGGTTGGAATTGAGATGTATTGACTTACGATTGACATGTTATTTACCTGTTGTCGTTTACTCCTTTTTCTCCTGTGTTTAATTGCTTGCCCAATTTAGTTGGTTGCTTCTGCTCTCATTCATGGCGTTCCGATCATTTTGGTCCCTCTCTAGAACATCTTTCAGTAGCCTGTGTAGGGTTGGCTTTGTCATCACGAAATTCTGTAGCTGTTCTTTGTCATGAAAGGATTTCACTTTTTCATCAAACTTGAAAGAGAGTTTTGCAGGGTATAGTAATCTGGGCTGGAATTTGTTTCATAGAGGACTTGAAGTACTCTGCTCCATGATCTCCTTTCCTTCATGGTTTGTGAAGAGAAGTTGGCTGTAATTCTGATGGGTTTTCCTTTGAATGTGATCTGCTTCTTTTCTGTAGCAGCTTTCAGTAGATTATTCTTGTGCTGAATTTCTGGGATCTTGACTATTATATGTCTCGGTGTGTTTTCATTGGATTGAGGTCACTTGGCGTTCTGTATGCTTCGGTTACCTGAATGTCAGATTGTTTCCTTATATTGAGAATTTTTCTGGTATTACTCCTGCCCATATTTTTTTAAATGTCATTTGTATTGACTCCTTCTTTCTCATTGATGCCTATTAGTCTCTCGTTGTTCATCTTTGCATCATCTTGCAGGTGATGGATTATTCTTTCCTTCATCCTCATTGTTTTTAAGAGATCCTTTCTTACCTTTTTACTAGCTGTACCAGCATCTTCAAGATCTGAAACTCTTTCTTCACTTTCACTTAAACGGTTTTGCAAGCTTGTGATTGAGATTTTAATTTCCTCTATATCTTTTGATTCTGCTTCATGCGATCTATTTCTTTCCTGTATTGGTCATTCAAGGAATCTGTCATTTTTCTAATCTCCTCTATTTTTTTTATCAATATCTTCTTTAGAAGCAGTTAGAAATTCTTTTACTGCAGTGTTTTTTTTAGATTGGGTTTCCTCCTTGTGTTTCTGTAGTTGTTTCTTTACTTCATATGCTATGAGTTCTGAGAATTCTTTTTTTATTTCAGAAAAGAATTGCACTCTAAGTTCCTCTATATCTTTCTGCTGTTGCCTATTTACTATTGATGCTATTAATTCATGCATTTCAGCTGAGCTAGTGTCCTCCACACTTGTTCTGGGTGGGCACTGGGTTTCCTCCATATGTTTGTGCATTTGATTCTTTACTGCAGATGTTATTGATTCTTTTTTAATTTCCAATCTGAGTTACTCTATACCTTTCTGCAGCTGTTTCTTTATTTCACAAGCCGTTGATTCATTGCTTTCAGCTGTGTGATTCCCAGTTTGTTGTGTGTTAGTATCCTCTGCACTTGTTACGGGTGGGCTTGGGTTCTGAGGTTGCATTTTGTTCCTTCTCGTCATTTTGTGTAGCACTGTCTTGTTGTAGATCTTCGTTGTAGTTATAACCTTAGCACGTACTGAAGTTCAGGTGCAGCTCTACAAAGTTTGGATTTATCCAGCTGTGCCTGGCTTGGGTCTGGCTGCTGTGCTCAGCTCCTTCCTGCTGCTGCCCTTGGGGGTGAACCTGTTGTGCCCCTCTGGCAAGATTTTCTGCTCCTGGACTAGCTGGGTGGTTCTATCTTCTACAATCTCTGCAGGGATTGCAGCTGCAGGGTTTCACCCCAGGCCTGTATGCTAGGTGTGAGCTGAGCCTGGAGGGGACAAAGTGGAGTAGGGGGGAGAGGCAGCTCTCCCACACACTCACCGGGCCTGGGCTAGGACTGGGTCTGGGAGTTTTCAGAACGTGGCAGAAATTCCTACTGGGCGGGCGGGGTGGGGGAGGTGCTGCAGAGTGGTGGGGGGCGTCCCAAGGGGCTAGAAGATGGTCTCACCCACGCTGCGCCTGGGCTGGGACCAGTAGTGTTATTTGATTTAACAGTTGTTGAGCTTCCTTCTGGTCATGAGTTGTGTATGTCCGTTGGCGTAGCTGGGAGAATGGCTACTGGCATACATCTGCAGTAGTGCAGACGAGGGAGGTGCAGGTGTGTGGGAGCGGGGTCTGGGGGTGCCCTGGCCTCCGTGTATATGCACAGCTCCTGCTTACACCCTCACTACTTGGTGTCCAGGGTGTAGTTTTCATCCTGGGGTTGTTTCTTTTTCTTTCTTTTTTCTTTTTTTTTTTTTTTTTTTTTTTTTTTTTTATGCTCCTAGTAATCTTTACCATCAAGCTAAAATTACTTATGGCTGATGGAATCTGTACAGAGTTAATAATTTTGGAAGACAGAGAGGAACAGGTGGGAAGGTTTGTCGAGGGTCCTGGAAGGCTTAGCCTGGAGAAATACTAAATAAAATGGCAAGAGGAGTGGAGCAAAGAAGAGCCTGACTCTGTCAGACAGAAATGCTGAGAAAAGTAGAAAACTTCTAGTTCCTTTCCCTTGACTTCTTATACACACTGTAGGCTGCCAATTAAGGCCTGTTTCTGTTTTATTCTTCCTGTGGATAAAATGGCCACCTGACTTTTCTAAAACTGAAGACTTTCCCTGAAATCTGACTTCCATGTTTTGTAAATGTGAACTACATCTGCGACAATTTAGGTGGAAAGAGCCCTGGATTGGCAATTAGGAGATGAGTGTTGTGTGAGGCTGTGCCCCTTAGGAATGACAGAACTTTGGTTGTAAGAATCCTCTTTCAGATCTGAAAAATGAAGGGTGGGATGAGGTTTCCAGGGGCACTTTGCTGTCTGAATCTCTGTGCCTGCCTGTGACAAGGCAGCATTTAGTGCCTGAGATCAGAAGCTATGTCTTGGGCATCTTCACGGCCTCCAGATGGAGCCAAGCATGTCCTGAGTGTCTCATCTCTGGTGGGTACCCTGCTCCCCACCTGGCTCATGTGTCCTCTATACTCCACCTACTTTGTGAAATCTAGTGCCTTGCACATGGTAATGCTCCATGGCCTTTTATTGAGTGAATAGATTTTACCAGCTCTTCAGAAAGTGTACTTCCACTTTCATCCATGTTACTGGATTTTTGAGTGTTGCCTGTTAACCACTTGGCTTAATGATACTTACCACAATTGGGTTAATTTCATAGATGTCTTTTCTGTGGCTGATTCTTTCAGTTATATTTATATTCATGAAAAATATATCCATTTGATTATTTTTTATTTTTCTTACTTCTCCTTTTGTTAGGGGTCTTGCTCCTCAGAATAAGCCAGAATTGCAAAAAGTGATGGAAAAGAGAAAGCGGGACCAAGTCATAAAGCAGAAGGAAGAGGAAGCACAAAAGAAGAAGTCTGACTTAGAAATCGAACTATTAAAGAGACAGCAGAAGTTGGAGCAGGTAGGTGTGATATAGTCCTGAGAGCTGTGGGTATTGGAGTGAGAAGAATTTCCTAGACATGGCAGATGTAAAGTGTCATACTCTGAAAGAATAAGGAGCCAGATGGCAGCAGATGGCATAAATTGTATTCAAGACAGTCAAGAATGCTATTGTGGATCTCAAACAAATGCTAGAAGCAAAAGCAAAATCAGAAGAAATCACTGAATTCACTGTGTTAGAGTAATTTGATAGAGCTTAGCTCCACTAAGACTCCAGAGAAACTGTGTGTAGGTCTTAGGATTTCATTTTTCTAATTTTAACTTTGGTATTCTTCTCTTGTGGTGTTTGCAGTAACAGCCAGTTGGCTCCTGCTTCTGAGTAATACCCCCAACACACACATGGTCGGTCGGTCTTTCTGTCTCTGTCTCTCTGTCTGTTTGTCTCTCTCTCTCTTTCTTTTTGTGGTGGAGGATGAACAGAGAATTTCCCATTGGAAAGAAAAGTGTTTTGACAAACCTCTCAGATTATAAATAATTTTCCTGTTTTTGGATTCCTTTTAGCTTGAACTTGAGAAGCAGAAATTGCAAGAAGAGCAAGAAAATGCACCAGAGTTTGTGAAGGTGAAAGGCAATCTCAGGAGAACAGGCCAGGAAGTGCCTCAAGCCCAGGAGTCCTAGACCAAGGCTGCCCAGAAGCCTGATATACATCCCACCATTTATTGCAACAGTTGTGTCTGGGTGCTTTTCAGCTCTGGTCTCAGGGCCAGAGCCCCCAGAGAGAACTGCAGCCAGCTAAGAAGTTTGCCTGGAGAGGGGATTTATGTGATTTTCCTGCAGTCTGGGTGGGTGAATTGTCTAGGACAGTTGCAGTTCCCATTCGCCAAATGAAGGACATTGACCAGCACTTAAGTTGGAATAATGGATCTGCATTCAGAGACTTTAAGCAGAACAAAACAGAACAAAACAAGAAGAAAAGGGAAGAGGACACTGGAATTAATCCTTGAGAGTTGCACTACTCAGTTTTTCTTCCAATCCAAATTTTGTAGGGAATGGTAACTTTTTATTTCAAAAGCTAAAGGAAAGATGTTTAATTCTTCCCTTGGTTATCTGTTAGACAACTTAGATTGCACAGAAATATATTTAATCTGTTATATCCAGTACTGGTAAATTTCGAAAATCCAAAATTTTCTTGTTTAATTTAAACTTTCACTCACATTAGAATTAGTAGCAGGGACAGTTGGTTTTGGTGTTGAGCACAGCAATTACCTTTGTTGGCACTAAAGTCCAGAAATAAGGTCAGAAGGGTTAGGAATATGTAAGGCTCCATCTTCCTGCCTCTTGGCTGTCTGTGTGGTGGTGTGGATGCCGTGGCATTCTACATCCAAGAAGGCACCTTACGCAGGTTCATGTATCACTGTGATGAGCACTGGGCTTCTCTGTAGTTTCGCTCTTAAACTTTGTGCTGAGGTAGTCCTTCTAGATGAGGCAATTCCTTGGTCCTTTGGAAAGTGGAAATCGTGTATATAACCCAGCTTCAGTTTCAGAAGTACAGGGTCCAGAATCTTTTAATCTCTCCAGAGAGTGGTATAGGGGGATGTTCATGAGGAAGATTTTACATTGTTTGTACATTTTGGTATCATTAGAATCAAACTTTGGTAATTTCTGATTAATAGTCACATATTTCTTTACTATTTTTTCCCTTGTGTAGAAAGACTTCTGCCACCCTCTCAGCCTAGTGCTGTCAAGAGGGGTGATGTTGATGACTACTGTATTATTGCATCTCTCAGGAAAGCCACGCAGCAGCATGGGCCAGCTTGGTCTCTCATGCGTGCTAATTCATGTGCTCCTCAGTGGACATCCAAGTTACAAGAACAGCACAGTTCTCATGCAAAAGTAATTATATACTGCTGGCATATAATGCTTGTGGATTTCGTGCAGAGACAGCTCAGCCAGTAACTTTTACATTAAGGACTGTTCTTATACTTCCTCCAATGATAATAGAAGTTGGGTCTGGGCTTTGCGGCCCTTCATCACCACAGTAGACATTAGCTTTCTGTGTGAGTGCTTTAGTTTTAGCAGCTGACAGGCCCCTATTCAATCCTAATGTGAACAAGATAGAAGTGGAGACTGATACACAACTAGAGAAATGTGTTAGTTGATTACACCTGAAATGGATCATTCACCTCATCAGCAAGTATTATTTGAATAAAATACATGATGCTTAGCTTAAAATACTGCTCTATAATAGTTTCCTTTCAAAGATGAGTGGTGACTCTCTTTTTCACCATTCTTTGAGAGAAGAAAGTGTGGTAACTGAGGATCTTGAAAGAACGTTCTGATTGCACGTTCGTTCAGAGCTTTTCCTTATTATGTATGTGGACTGATAATGTGGTTGATAAAGTGGAAATTTGGCCTGGATCAAATTGCTTTCTCTAACTGGACTTAGATCTGTGTCCTTGAAGGGATTCTACCACTTGACGAAATTCTCAAGGGCCCTGTGAAGCCCCTAGAGAAGGATGAATTCTGTTCCTAAAACTTGTGTAGAATTCATTCATCACTGGGAAAAAGTCATTTAGAAATTTAGAAAGCATTTAGAATTTAGAAAGCATTCTTTCCTACTCATAGACAGATTTGTAGAATTATTTGTAGTAATACACAAGATCCAGCCAAAAGAAGACTTGTAAATAGTGCAAAGTGATGGACCGTGCTGAATAGCAGAGGTACTGGTTGTGATGTTCTTTAAAGTCTGGTCAGATGGTTCCCAGGCTGAAGCCTCCCAGGTGGTCATTCTGTCCTCAACACTGTCTTGCCCAGACCTGTGGACTTGGGAACATCTGCAGAGTCCTGGGCTTGGAGCCACTTTTTTCCACAAAAATGGCTCCATTTTTCCTCTCTGGTTTTCTTAAAATAGTTGAGTGTTTTATAGTCTCCTGGTAGTAAAGTAGTATTGCTTTATAAGCTATAACAGTTGACTTTATTCTTCTACTCTGGAAAATCTTGCCTTGTTTGAGTGTATATAATATATATAAAGGGAGCCTTAATGGATTTGTTTTCATAATTTAATATTTTTTGTATTTGCTCTTGTATAATTGTTTTTAATGGAAAGAATTACAGAATTGAGGGTGGAATTCTTAGAACCAAAGTTATTCTTAATAAAAATCACCACATGCTTGGACCATGCAGCCATGTTTGTCTGATCTGTTTAGGACGCACATCTGGAGGGGGTGGCACTGTGTAGCCAAGAGACCAAAGGGTGGATCCAGGACACACTTGGCTGAGTGTGCCTTGACAGCCTTCGCTCCTGATTGGTTATGTCCTGCTATCACCTTGCATCTGTCAGGGCTGACAATTTACCCATCAGACAATCCATGCTAAGATATTAATGGTACTGTGTGCTACACTTTTTGTAGGGTACCTACCACATAAGTCACAGCAACTGTTGGTTCTGTTGGCCACAGCTTTTAGAATCTTAGGTAGTATGGTGGTAGGATAATGGAAGACATCTTTTGGGAAGGGCCATTTTTAAGTGCTTTTAATGAGCTAGTGGGTGATTTTTTTTTTTTTTTTTTTTTTTTTTGTGGAACTGGGGATTGAATTCAGGCCCTTGTGCTTGCAAGGGAAGCGCTTATTCCACTGAGCCATCTCCCTGGCCCCCGATAATATATGTATTTTTTACTCAGCTAAATTAATGCTATCCTCAAAGAAGTTACTCTGGAACATTGTACCCATGATTGCATTTTATTATTAGTTAAAATAATTAGAGATTTAAGTCTCTTTACTTATCATATCTCTTTTGAAAGTCTACTTCAAAGAGTGAAAATTTGCTGTCTCATAGATTACACCACAAGCCCTAGAACCCACACAAAAGATGGGTTCCAGAAATGATTTGAGCAGTAGTTACATCCTTGGAATAACCACTTTCCCAGTGTGACAGTTTTGAGGATATTGGGCCATTTAATTATGTGTGTGTGTGTGTGTGTGTGTGTGTGTGTGTGTGTTTTACAGAAGAAGCATATGTGAAGAAAGAGAAAAGTGGTAAGTTTTAAAGTGTGACAAATGAAAGAGATATTAATACTCTTAGCTACTAATGTAGTAAATTTTGAAGTATTAGGATAAATGAAATCTTTATGAGCTGGCCGCACAGTCAGAATCTCTACTTTGTCTTTCTCTTCATAAGAAAATGTGTGATTGACAACTGGGGATGTTCTGAGTATTTCCGCATTTACTCTTAGATTTTTCTAGCAAGATGATAATTCCCAGCCAGATTCTGGAAAAAAGCAGCATTTATTGAATGTGTACTCACTACTACTGGTGTTGCTATGCCTTGGCCCTCTCAAGATACATGTTTGTGTGTAAGTGTATGCATGCACACATATGTATTGATAATTATGTTTATATCTGCTTAATATCATGAGTTCATATCCATACGTTTAATAGCACATCTTTCTTCCTTTCTCCTATTCTGTATCTGTAGCTCCTTTTCTAGCAGTAAAAACCTGAAAGTCACACCTCTTCCAAGCCTGTTTCCTTCCTTCATCCTCCTGTGTATAGCCAGTCCTCTTGACCTTTCTCAACCACTTTCCTCATTCAGGCTCTGCCCAGTGATTTGTGTGTGTGTGTGTGTGTGTGTGTGTGTGTGTGTGTGTGTCTGAATTAGGAAGTGAACAACAATATTTCTTTGAGCATTTAATTATGTGTTGTAAGTTTGAGTTGCCTCAAATAACCTAACTTACAGACTAGGAATGACTGATGATTTGGAACCTTTCAAAGTCCTTAAACAGTATATAAGCTGTACTTGAATACAAAGATAGCACATTCTAAAATAACTTACGTGAACCTATTTTTAAGAGTGAGCCTTGATGTTCATTATTTTTCCATTTAGAAGTTACTTTCCTATAGCTATATCCTTTAAAATTTTCATATCTTATGATTTAAATGTAAAGCATGCCCAAAGACTCAGTATTGAAGATTCAACCCCCCAGTGAAGCGGGAATGGGCTCAGGAGAGGTGATTGGGTCACAAGATACTGACATCATCATTGGATGACTTTATTAGCAGAATGGGTTGTTGGAAGGTGGAGCCCAGTAGGAGGAGGTGGGTCCTTGTGGATGTACCTTTGGAGGGTATATGTCTCTGTCTCTGGCTCCTTAATAGTCTGTTTCCTGTTTGCCATGAAGTGAGCAACTGGCTCTACATTACCCTGCCACCAAGATGTTTCTGCCCTGCACAGACTTAAAAGCAATGAAACTACCTGACCATGGACTGGACCTTCTGAAACCATAAGCCAGAATCCATTTTCCCTCATTAGGTGGTGTATGTCAAATATTTTGTCTCAACAAAAAGCGGAGTAATACAATATCTTCCTGAGGACTTATTCTACTTCCTAGGCTTCTATAAAACTAATGAAGTGTAATGGGGGATTTTTTATTTTTTAAGCTGGCTCAGAATGCCTTCAAGGCAGGCTTGGCTGGCTTGAGTTCCGGGGATCGAACCACAACAACCTGAGCCTGACTGCTTTGCTTAGCAGCCATGAAATGTAATGGAAAAGAAATGCTTCCTTAGAGTAACTGAAGGAGCCAAATATGGGTTCTGGTTATAGTTAGACATGGTCAGGCTGAGTGGTCCAAATTCTTTCAGTCATGATTCACAGGCTTTGGACCACATCCTTTTTACAATTCTGAGTTGCTTTGCTATGGGATTTTTAAACACTTCACCATATATTTTACTGTTTTCTTGAAAGTTGGTGTTCTTCCCAGAAACCGTATAGACTTATTTTGCATGGCCAGCATTATCTACGTAGTGTTTTGCCTTTGTGATATATTGATCGTGCTCATTAGCATTATTGAAAACTATGCTTTATCAATATTTCAGACTATAGTATATTATGCAGATAGCAACAAGTGAATAATACTTAGGTTACATATAAAATGTCTGTAAATGTCAATGCAATAAAAAATGTAGAGAAGATGAAATACAGATGGTCCACTGGCACTGAAAGAATGATGGCAGAGTAGTCATTTTGAGATTTCATCTAAGAGTCATTGAGTCCATGTGGTGAATTTACTTTGAGTATTTGGGTATTGTATTGGATATGCTGTGGGATTTTAAAAAAAAATTATTGCATAGAATACACTAGCCTCTTTCTACTTGGTTGCTTTATGTGAACACTGATGGTCATCAATATTTTTTCTTCTAATACTACATTTTCCTAGTTTTATGATTGCCTGCCTGTATTTATTTTTTTCTTGTATAGATAGCCACTGCTTTTTCTCTTTAGTGTACCTCTTATCATAATTTTATTTTCCATCTTAGGCATTTAGAATACTATAGCTTTGCCAGTGGAAATGCTAGGTTAAGCTCTCTCCACTGTTGTTGTTGTTAGTTTTATTTTTTTTTTTATTTTTATTTTTTTTTCATTTGATACAGTGCTGGAGATAGAACCCAGGGCCTTTACACTGAACCTTTTAAAAAACATTTTCTGAATCACTGTCTCCCTAAGTTGCCTGAGCTAGGCTTGAACCTGTGGTCCTTTTGCTTCAGCTTCCCAGAGCGCAAGCATGTGCCATAATTTCCAGCTTGTTATTCTTTTTAAAACATTTTTCCTGACAGTTATGATAGTGTCCTTGCTTTGTTACAATGTAGGGTTTTGATCCATCCATTTTTTTTCCCCTGGCATATTACATATGACATTGTGCCCCTCAAAGATGACCTGCAGCTTTTTGAGTAAAATAAAAATAGAAATCAAAATCTGGCACATTCTTGCTAGTGGACAGCTGTCATTGCACTTTCAGTAGTTGTACCCTGATTTTCCTATTTTAAGCCATTATGTGTTTTAATGTTACTTTTCTTACAAGTCTTAATAAACCAGAAAAATGGTAATTTAGAAAAATTAGGTGAGATATTTTCTTTGAAAATAAAAATTATGGGGCTGGCCAGATAGCTCCAGCGGACTAACGTGCCTGCTTAGGCAGAGCACAGCGGCTGGGTTTGATCCCCGACCTGCCGTGCCAGCCCAACCTGCGGGGTGCACTGAGACGGTGATTGAGACGGTGTGGTGGTACGCACCTGTAATCCCAGTGCTTGGGAGGCTGAAAACAGGAGAATCACTATGAGTCTGATCTACACAGTGAGATTCTGTACACCCTGTAGACCCTGTCCTAAATTCATAAAAAAAGAGAAATGAAAGGGGACCTGTCTCTCCATAGATAAACACTTTCCACACAATAGTAATTTAACAGGTCCCATTCTAGCTCAGAGTAGATAGATCTGTGGAACAGAACATGAAGTCCAGGGGCTGTCTGATTACACATGAAAATGTACTATGATTAAGGTGGGTTTTTATTTCAAAGCAGAAAGTGATGAAAAGTATTCAGTGAAGAAGTTTTGGTGCTCCTGGAACCAAGCAAAGGTATATTACTGTACCCCACACCATGTTGAAGAATAATACCTAAATTTATTGGCATGTTCAACAGAAAAATGATACTATAGATATATTCAAATAAAATATAAAGGAACATTTTGTAGCATCTTGGGAGCAGGGCTGGGACACCTTGAACAAGACATCTAACACTGGCTTGGCTTGCTGTTCACACCAGTGGTCCCAGCTTGCCAGATACTAGGCAGGAAGTTCTCACGGAGCCCTGCCGGGGAGGTTTAGCAACTGAGCAGGATCCTATTTCAAAATTTCAAAAGCTAGGAATGTAGCACAGTGCAAAAGCCTTTGGTTCAGTCTCCAATCCTGTTCCACAAAACTAGCAAACAAAACACCTGATGAATTTGATTAGTGAAAATTAAATGTGAACAGAAAAAGATAAAAAGGTTAAAAGACGAGTAACAGACTAAGGTATATCCCATATATAGCAGCAAATAAATAATATCTAAATCACCTACAGAATGTCTACAGATGCCAGTGCAATAAAAATGCACAAAATGTATAAAGAGGAGGGCCCGGGGAGATAGCTCACTAGAATAAGTGCTTGCCTGGCAAGCTCAGGGTCCTGAGTTCAATCCCCAGTACCGAAAAAAAAAAAAAAAAAAAAAAAGTGCCATTAGAATGTACAAAGAGGAAATTCCAGAAGATAGGAATCAGTGGCCTATCCACATGTAAAGAGAGAATGCTATCAGTATCAGGGACATATGAATGAAAATAACCATGACATAATTCTGCACAAGTATTCTGA